TCGTTTATCTGAGATACGTTTTTGAATACGATGCAGTAGAATATTTTTTATGTTATAATATTTGGGAAGGAAAAGCAACTGGAGAGAAAATGTTTGAAATTATTAACAGATATTTTGAAACGAATAATCTTGCCTAGACACACTGTGTCGCAGTTTGTGCTGATTATGCTGCAGCATTAACAGGTAATCATAAAAGACTAAGAGGGTTAATAATAAAAATTGCTCCTCATATAATATTACATCATTGGGAAGAATTGCACAAGATATTGCAGGGTTATTACTGCAATTAATTACATTAAAAGGCAAGATCCTAAACAGTTGTCTCTTTTTAATACGATGTAATGAGATAAGTTCTGTGTATGAGACATTATTACCAAAGTCAGTTGGCTTTCACAAAGAAAAAAAATACTGAATCATATTTTCGATTTGAGAAATACAGTTTACATATTTTTGGAAGAAAAGAAACATACATCAGCAAGTTCATTCATTAATAATGATTAGTTAGGAAAACTTAGTTTCATAGCAGACATTTTCTAAAAAACTAAACATTTTAATACTGAGCACCAATATTGAAGCTTTTAAAACTAAGCCTAATACTTTGGCAAGAAGAATTGAACAAAAACAACAGAAACCTGTTTTCAGAATTTACTAGAGAAAATAATACAGATTTCTTGTTTAAAACAACAAGAAATCTGTATAATAAAATTGACAGAAAACTTTTTTGAAAAATTTCCAAATAAGGAATTAGATTGGATCCGTGACCCATTTTTCCTTTGGTATTTTCAATTCCAATGTATCTCTAAATGAAAAAGAACAATTAATTGATATTTTAAGTGACGGAATACTGTGTGTTCAAGTTAAGTCTCTAACATGCCAAAAATTTTAGTTACCTATTGAAAAAGAATATGCAAATTTAAAAGGAATGAAACTAAATTATTAAGTTTCTCTCGTAAAATTGTGTAGTAAACCTTTAGCTTATATTTAAAACTTCCAAAAGGCTTATGTTACATTTTTACATCAGGAATTGAAAGCGGATTTCTCACTGAAATAGAAATAATTTTGCTATTGAATTAACATAGAGAACTTTTTTATTGAAATATTTTTTCTCTGTGCCATTTAACTGCATCTACTACAAACTAAAGATTAAAGAATTGTTTTCAAAACATTTTGAATTTGTTGTCATATTGGTCTACGAAGCACTAGATTAGTGAGTTTTTATTACATTATTGACAAATATAGTTTAAACAAACAAATTTTCAGCGGAGATAAATATTTGTCATATATAAATGCGTTTTCAAAGCGGAAATAAATAATAAGTGTTAAAAAGAGAACCCGGTTGGAACATTCATACCTCTAATTACCCTAACAAAGTAATTTGCTTTGATTTAATCTTTATAATATAATATATTTTACAATGATAAGGAAAAATCCAATGTGAAAGGTTATGTGAAGATTACAATAGTATCTACAGTATTCAGCATTTCGTATAATCCTATAACCAGATAATAATATTAAAATAAATTTTATCTGAATGAAGTTTTCTTATTACAGAAACAGTCAAATTATGCAAGTACATAAACGAATGCACTTTGAAACTATATCCTTTAATACTGTTTACAAACGAAAGCCAAAGTTCTGTTTACATTACTTCTCGCCCTTCAGCGCATGCTCAAGAATTACCATCCAGGCGAAACTAATCGATTTTTCCATGACGTCAAAAATTCGAAAAGTGGGGTAGGGTTTGGAAATACGCGGAAGGGAATTATAATCCAAGCATAAAATTAAATGAATCGGAAGTTAATGGTTATACAGATAATTCGATGGAAGAGACTGACATAAATGAAAATGCCTTTCTTTATATTGATTTTGATGATCCAAGTCTTTGCGACAAAGTGAGAATGATTTTCTCTGAAATGGGGTCTATTCAAAAGAAAGGTTTAATGTAAGTTCATTATCTAAGCAAAGATAGTCAAAATGAAATACTGCAAATTATTGGCAGTAGTATAAGAGAGAAAATCTTACTATCTCTCCGAAATCCAAGTAAGATTGTACTCCAGATATTAGCCGAAAGGCGTCAAGACATCAAAAGCTTTTTGGGATTAGTGAGTTTTTATGCCAAATTTTGCCCTAATTTGGCAACTTTGGCATATCCCTTAAATAATTTAACAAAAAAAGATGATAAATGGAATTGGTAAAAAAACTGCCAAATCGCTTTTGAAAAAATGAAAAAGAAAATTTGTTCAGACAGAGTTTTAATGCATTACGAACCCACATTACCGTTAATGCTAGCTACTGATGCATCTCCGGTAGGTCTTGGGGCAGTGCTCTCGCATGTTTTGTCTGATGGAACAGAAAGGACTATAGCATTCGCATCGAGGACACTGACTAACACAGAGCAGAAATACGCCCAAATCGATAAGGAAGCACTGTCAATTGTTTGGGCTGTCAAAAAGTTTTATCTATATCTAAAGGGAAGACGATTTTTCTCTGGTGACAGATCATAAACCTTTAGTGGCTATTTTCAAATCTAAGAGAGGACTTCCTATCCTCACAGCCACCCGACGTTTACGTTATGCACTGATATCAGTTTAATATTGCGTATCGAAATATCAAGGAACACGCTAATGCTAACTGCCTGTCGCGCCTGCGTCTTAAGTCCGAAGATTTATGCATTAAGGATGATGTTGAAATATTCCAACTCTCCCAAATTGAAACTCTTTCGGTAACAGCTGGGAAGATAGCTCGGGCAACGCGAGCTGACGAAGAATTAAATAGTCTTTATATGAAATTAAAATCTGTAGAAAGTTTGAAACGTAGGGAAGCAGAGTACACCTTACACGATGACTGTATAATGAGTGGTCAGAGGGTAGTTGTTCCGAAAAAACTCCGAGTTAAAATTCTCGAAGAGTTACACTAAGGTCATTTAGGAATCGTTAAAATGAAGGCAATCGCCATATTTTACGTCTTTTGGAAGGGAATTGATCATGATATTGAAGACGTTTCGAGAAACTGTGTCGATTATATTATGTTCAAATCAGATCCAGTAAGGGCAAGGGTCCATCACTGGGAATATCCAAGTGCGCCTTGGAAACGCATTCACGTAGATTTTGCAGGCCATATTTTTGAACGAATGTTCTTGATTATCATTGACGCACATTCTAAATGGCTCGAAGTGTATACCTTAAAGTCAACAAATTCCTTTCAGACAAGACTGCAAGTAACTGCCAGTAAGTAAACTTTTACAGTTGAAATATTAAAGCAAAAACTTGCCATATTCCTCATGAATTATAGAAAGGCACCGAACATGGCAACCTTGTCAAGTCCAGCAATGTTATTCTTAAAAAGAGAAATTAGAACTCGAATTGATTTAGTTGTTCCAAATCTTGAAGAGTGGAAGAACGCATCCGAAGGAATAATTATGATCTCTAAGCCAGAAATTTTGAGATCGGAGAAAAGGTTGCCATTCGGGATTATAGATCGGCAAATTCCCGATCGAAAATTGGCAGAGTGACAAACAAGGATGGAGCGCTGCATTATACAATTGACGTTCAAGGAACTTTACTGCGCCGGCACGTCGATCAGATCAGATCGGTAGGGAGCGAGGTTCCATCTGCACCGGTAATCTATGAGCCTCGTATGGCTACTACTTCAGATGGCAACGTGAAGCCACAGGCTCCGGACAAGGACATCGAACAAAGAAGTGAAGCTGTGCACACTTAAGCCGGAGTTGAAACATCGTCATTTCCAAGGAAAACTGAGCCAGTCATTCCAGTGAATTCTGATAAAGAGTTGCAGCAACCCCAGCCAGAACTTACACGATCTTCGCGCATCCGCAAAGCTCCTCGGAGATTAAATCTGTAAATAAGTGGGGAGGGATGTAGCATCTAATTTCGAGAGTATCATTACTCTTATATGCCTGAGAACCTCTGTGAACGAGAGTAGAAGAGAATGTAATGTAACTGCGTAAATAGCGCATCGCTGCTGTCTTATGAGTTAGAAATAAATGTTTGTGCCGTAAACTAGTCTGTTGGGTTGCGTCATGCACTTCACTGAACCACACGCTAGACACACCCGAACAGAGAGTGTGATTTTCGTTCCTGGTGGATGCAGAGCAGGAGTTGTGGCTTATTAAGTGAGATCTACGTAAGCTTATGAGAATATGGAATGTTAAATATGGAACATTCCTCTTGATGACGTGAGACGCCAGGGATATGCCAACGGCGCAAATGTGAGTTTTCAGTGGCGGCTAGTTTGATAGAGCCAGAAACGCAGTTCACAGGATTGCATTGCCAGTAATAACCTGCCAGTCAGTCAGTCTGTAATTGGAGCTACTAAAGATACCCTTTATAGTAGCCTTACCTGTTACGAAATCGTTGGATATATTCCGATGACCTCATAGATCGCGTGACTTATGTATAACTTTTATAAACAAACAATGAAGATGACCTCAGATATCACGTGATTTATGTACAGCTAATGTAAGCAACCAAGGTCATTCTTCCTCTTCCTCTCCCACGAAATGTAATTCGTTGTCGCCATAGCAGTTAGAGTACCTCCATGGTTTTCACAATTGGCAGTTTTCAACCAGTGAAAATTGTAAATTTTAGCCACCTTGTGTAAAATGCATCTAACAGACTAATATAGAAGTTTGCCAACTTAAAATTCCAGAAATAACTAAGGAAGATAATCAGACTGGAAAATTTCCAAAATACCAAAAACTTCTTCAATAAATAGATTACACTTTTTTACGCTAGCTGGAGAAGTAAATTAACGTAAGGGCCAAGAATAATGATTTTTGAAATATTTGATGCAAAAAATACAATAATAAAAGAATATACAGGTTGGCGGAGAACAGTAGAAATATTAAATAGTAAGATGTTTCTCATATTGTCAACAATTCTTAAAATTTATTATCCAAAGCAGAAACGCAAATAATCTGCTATCTTCTGATATCTCTCAAAGGACAATTCTTAAAATTTATTATCCAAAGCAGAAACGCAAATAATCTGCTATCTTCTGATATCTCTCAAAGGACTATTGCTATTGTACTCAGTCGGACGAGGCGGTTATTAAGTTGAAGTAGATCTTTGAAAAATTTCATTTGTCAGACAAACTTCATTTAAACAAATTTTTTTTCGATGTAAAAATTTTATTTGCGGATTATTTAGTAAGAAGAGTGAATATTTATTCCCCAAGTTGAATTCACAGTATGTTGATTCAAGGTTTTGCATGTCGCTGTTTGGTAGTTTTCAATTCGCGTACTTTTTGTTTTGGATTTGACTTCCTATACACCAGCATGAGCTAATATCAATTAAATTAATTTTTAAAAGGCCAAAAGAGGTGTTTTTTTATTTTAATTGTGTATTTTTTTATTCTTAAACCTTACTGAAGAAGACTCGCTGATAACAATTTGGTAATTCAAAAGTGAGTTAAAATTTTCTTAGTATTTATTGTTGTTTACTCCGAATGGGATGTTTATTTCGCTATGACTAAGTTACGAAATTTAACTGTAATGACAATGCTATTAAACCATGAAAAGGAATGGGAAATCTTTGTAAACAATAACCTGAATAAAAATTAACGGCCTCCTTATTTTAATGTATGTGTAAATTTAAATCGGGGCTTTTGAAACTGTAGGATGTAAAATTAACGTGATAATTCTCTGGAAGCATGCATAAAATGTGAAAAATATTGATTTCCCCCCAAGTATTGAAAACATATTTATTATTTCTTCAATGACTTTGAATATTTGATATATTATTAGGCTTTTATATTATTATTAAATGTCTTGTGTTCATTCCATAGTATGCTGCTGATTATGAATGTTAAATTTCTGTCTTGAATGGTAAACAATTTATTATAACAATTTACAATTATAAATATATCTACTATTGAGTATAAAATAGTTTAATCATAGTTAAGTAGCTTTGGAAAACTATAATAATAAAAACTCCATTCAAATGTTTTGTCAGTTTTATGTTTAAAGGAAGTTGTGTGCCCAATTTTGTATACAAAGTGAGGATAGTTTTATTCATGGTCTTTTATTAATTTTTACCTTTAATAATCTTCACTTCTAGTATTATTAATAAAAAATATTCATTAATATTGAAAGGAAGTGAAGATAATGTTATACAAAGTGTACTGTGTATGCACAAAGTGAGCATGATTTTAATCTTGATCTTTTATTAATTTTGTCCTTAATTGTCTTGCCTTCTAATATTATTAATAAAATTATTTATCAATATTGCTGTTATTCAATTGTTTGAGTAAAATTAGCTACTGAATCATGACTTTTAATACCTTCTTATAATTTTCTTCTTTTGTAATGTATGACCAATAAAAATAATAATCTTTTAATGATGAAACTAATGTACAGAGGAAGTGTTATATTATTTTCAAATATTTATGTATTAGCTATCATCCACCGATACACTATGAATAATACCACTATACTGTGCTTTCCTGTGAAGGTTGTGGTGTACCCTAGAAATTGTTTTGAACTATTTTAAAAAGATGCAATTTTTTTCTTTTTCACCGTTCTTTTGGTGTGTCCATGTGTGCTATTCTCCCTTCCCCAGGAGATGGTGGAAACAGCTTGTTTTTTAAATTTGGCATAAACTTTAGGTCAGTTAGATTAAGCGCATATTTGCAGTCTTACTATTTTTATTTCAACTTTTGGTACTTTGTGATTATTTCACTCCTATGAAAAGATGCCATCACATTGCCAATGTTTACATTTTTACAACCCAAGGATACTGTGGTTAAATAAAAACCATATAAATCCAGATGTACTGAAATATGTATGTAGTATGTGCATGCATGGGCTGGCAAATAACAATTTGGGTAGTCAAAGTATAAATCCTTTTCTCATGGGATATCCTCAAGCAATAGCTATCAGAAGATGATATGGTGAATCGGTTGATCTTTACATTATGGTAACTTGGCGATTTTTTGGTGAAAATTTCGCGACCAACTCTCCTACAGCAACCCTCTATTTTTTTTTCCCGCCGCCGAAGTAAAGACATGTTTCTTTTCTTTTTATCTACTGAACACTTCTTCCAACAATCTACTAGCCGAATTACACATATGCTAGAAATTTTATCCATACTCCTTACGCGTTTTTCAAAATAACACATACACATAAACTATGTACACGTCGACTTATTTTTACTTAAAAAAACATCCCAGAATTACACGAAAATGGCATTGCGCACACTCTTCACTATATCCATGTACACTACTTTTTTCTCATAAATTAGAAAAATTTCACGAAAATACATGACAATTTACTGAATCTTTAAACCCAGTAAAAAGAACATATATGAAATTAACTGATCGCGAAAAAGTATATACCCTTTCCGAATATGAACATTTCCACATATAAAATAAATAAAATATCCAAAAACTTTTACCTCTAAACCATCTATTATATTCTAAACGTCACCAACGAATTCATACCGCAAGCAATACAAATACATAGTGTCAAATATTTAAATTATTTCCATGCACGTTTACTTCAACTAAAACGTATATCAAATTCCTACAAACAAAACAAACTTCTGATTCATTATTTCCATGCACGTTTACTTCAACTAAAACGTATATCAAATTCCTACAAACAAAACAAACTTCTGATTCACAAAATAACTATCATTTAATTAAAATATCACTAAACCATGTACACATCAACTTATTTTTACTTAAAAAAAATTCCCAGAAATGGCATTGCGCACACTCTTCACCATATCCATGTACACTCCTTTTTTCTCATAAATTAGAAAAATTTCACGAAAATGCATGACAATTTTCTGAATCTTTAAATCTGTTAAAAAGAACATATATGAAATTACCTAATAACGAAAAAGTATATACCCTTTCCGAATATGAACATTTCCACGTATAAAATAAATAGAATATCCAAAAACTTTTACCTCTAAATTATCTATTATATTATAAACACGTCACCAACGAATTCATACCGCAAACATTACAAATACTTAGTGTCAAATATTTAAATTATTTTTCCATGCACATTTACTTCAACTAAAACGTATACCAAATTCCTACAAACATAAAATTCACAAAATAACTATCTTTTAATTAAAAATATAATTAAATTCAAAAACACTACTTAAAATATAAATAAGCACATACATTAAATTAATAAAAATTAGCTTACTATCCTAATTACTTTAAACTAAATCATTGCTAATAACAATTTTCCCAATAATACCAAATTACTTTACTTCCACCTTACATTTAGAACAATGCATAAAAATAATATCCTCAAATAATTAAAAATACTAACTTACCTAATCTTCTTCAGAATCTTGATTACGTGTACGATAAACTTTTCTTATTTCCTCTCTGCTAAATAAAAAGCAAGCGTATGTGCGCCTGTTTCAGGATCTTTAAAATCATACTTATACTTCACAGCAAGGTACCAGTTAAAATAAATAACTTAATAAAACATCTTTACTTCTATCTCGCACAACCTTAAAGAAACACTTATTACTACCCCTTTCAATCCCACTAAATACCCATTTCGAATTCACTTTAGTTAGGGCCATGGAATCCAAAAATTAACGAACACTGTTTCACACAACACAGAATAAAGCCAAATACAAAATTAGCTGATCTTTACAATATGGTAACTGGTAGTTTGGCGACATTTTGGAGGCGATAAAGGTTACTACCTGGGACTTTGGTAATAATGTGAGCAGTACTCAGTTCCGATTACGCATTATTTTGTGTGAGGGAAATGAGAGATCATGGGATATGTCATGTGATATTAATGGACGAATTACGGTTCTTTAATCGGGAAAAAATCTGGAAATTTTTGTATTTGGCTTTATTCTGTGTTGTGTTGAAACAGGTTCGTGAATTTTTGGATCCCATGGCCGTAATTAAAGTGAATTCGAAATGGGTATTTATGTATGTATTAATTTAATGTATGTGCCATTTATATTTTAAGTAGTGTGTTTCTGAATTTAATTATATTTTAATTAAATGATAGTTATTTTGTGAATTTTATGTTTGTAGGATTTGGTATACGTTTAGTTTAAGTAAACGTGCATGGAAATAATTTAAATATTTTGATACTAAGTATTTGTTAATGCTTGCGGTATGAATTCGTTGGTGACGTGTATATGTAATAGATGATTTAGAGGTAAAAGTTTTTGGATATTTTATTTATTTTATATGTGGAAATGTTTCATATTTGGAAAGGGTAAATACTTTTCGCGATCAGGTAATTTCATATATGGTTTCTTTTTACCGGGTTTTAAAGATTGAGAAAATTGTTATGTATTTTCGTGAAATTTTTTTTCTAATTTATGAAAAAAAAGCAGTGTACATGGATATAGTGAAGAGTGTGCACAATGCCATTTTGTGCAATTCTGGGATTTTTTTTTTAAGTAAAAATAAGTCGGCGTGTACCATGGTTTTGTGTGTATGTGTTATTTTGAAAAACGCGTAAGGAGTATGGTATTGTGCACTTTTCCCAATTTTGCAGTGAATATTTGTCATGATTAAGCAGTTTTGTTAGATAAAATTTCTAGCATAAGTGTAATTCGGCTAGTAGATTTGTTGGAAGAAGAAGTGTTCAGTAGATAAAACGAGAAAAACATGTCTTTACTTCGTGAAGACAAAATGGCGGTGGGAAAAAAAAGAGGGTTGCTGTAGGAGAGTTTGGTCGCCAATTTTTTCGCCAAAAAAAAACGCCAAGTTACCATAATGTAAGATCAACCCCCAAAATTTCCAGATTTTTTTTTCCCGATTTCCCCCCCTTTTTCGGATTAAAGAACCGTAATTCGTCCATGAATCACATGACATATCCCATGATCTCCTCATTTCCCTCACACCAATATAATGCGTATCGGAACTGAGTACTGCTCACATTATTACCAAAGTCCCAGGTAGTAACCTTCATCGCCTCCAAAATGTCGCCAAACTACCAGTTACCATATTCTAAAGATCAACCTGGTAAATCTTCGGATTATGGTAACTTGGCAATTTTTTGGTGACCAACCCTGCTACAGCAAACTGCAAGTTTTTTTTGGGGGGGACGCCATTTTGTTTTCACGGAGTAAAGGCATATTTTTTTTTATTTTTTTTAATACTCAACATTTTTTCCAACAATCTCCTAGCCGAATTACGCCTTATGCTAGAATTTTTATGGAACTAAAGTGCTTAATCATGACGAAGATTAGGTGCGAAATTGTTTCTAAGTGCTTATTAGCTCAGAATTTTCACGATCGGAATTTTCTGGAAAGTCCATTTTCACCAGATTTCTTGCACCGCCATTCAAACTTATCTGTAATATCCTTCCTTTCACACAATCTCATTTCATTCCCACATGTTGGACATTCATATTTATCTGCAATCAATCCACACTCATATGCCATTCAGCAACCTTTGGATGA